ATGGAGGGGAGAAAAATGTTATCTTATCATAAATATTATATGGGTCATCTCAATTAATGAGATGTAGTTTGAATTATGTACGAAAAATCAAATTTATAATATATAATTCAGAATATATTAATTTATTATTTACTCGATTGTCAGTTTGTTTCTCGGAAATATTAAACAAATTAATCGGTCAATGTCTGATAAAAGACGTAGGCAATAGCAATGTCATTTCCAAAAAAAATTACACATAATCTTTAACGTTTTTTAAAAGTTTATTATTTAAAATTAACGATAAAAATGTGGAATTAAATAATGAATTTACGTAATAATAATTATACAGAAAAGTAATAAAAAAATGTGTATAATTATAGATACTCTACATATAAATATGTCTTTAATAAAGTTATAATTTTATAGGACAAAGTTTTAATTTTAGAAAATTCAATAATTACTAAAATTGCATAATATTTTAATTTTAATTATTCAAATATAAATTATTATAATAGCCGATGTTGTTGAATAGTTTGAACTAAACTCATGAGTTTTAGAACTTTTTCACTTTATATGTTTACTTAGCTTAAATAGTTTCAATGAACTACGCCAACGCTTCATATTAACTCTCATCAGCTCACCGAACAATTCACGAAATGTCACCATTTATCTTTTACTAACTTTAGCTCTTACATAACATACATTCAGTGCTTCAACAGGTTTAATTAATGCTCGTCTTATTCATCAGAATAAACTCGTGAAAGGCCTATGAACTGTGTAAGCACATATTTTACTTAATATACATAATTACTTATAAAAATTATTGAACAAAAGTGTGCGAATATTTTGTAAATCAATGATATAATAACATAGTAATCTTCTATCTCATAATTTAAAGTTAATTTAAGTACAAATAATACTAATAAAAAATATATATATAAATTCAACGATTATATATAAAATAAATTTTAAAAAAGTTTTTTATTTACTAATATCTATTTAAATTTAGGTAAAAATTATTGTTTCATACACATTCTCATAATATGTTACATTTAGAAATCTTTCTTTTTTTTTGTATTATCTTTTAATCGATATTCTTCAATTGTATTTTTTTCTAAAGACACAAGAAAAAATGACGTTTCCTCTAAACCTATAAACATTAATATGTATAATTGATAAATATATAATGTAAATTACTTGAATAAAAAATAGCAACGACCTCTTGCAAAGAATTAAATATTAATATGTGTATAAAAAAAAGTTAAAAATATGTTTTATAAAAAAACAAATTATTCTTTAATAAATATTGTTTAATAATGTTATTAAATATCTTTTTAATATTATAAACTCTAATTCTCTTTATTGCGATATTTAATTATTAATTAGTTTTATTAGAATCGTCGTTTTTATGAAACGTTACAATCATTTAGGTTACATGCACTTTTTTTTATTACATATTATATATTATATCAACTTAATTTATAAATTATTAAATTTACATTTTTTAACTCACTTTTAGAGAGCACATAAATTGAATAATATATTACACAAATATATCACAAATTAACAACACTTGTTATCACTTTTTTTTTACTTAATCAATTTCTTAATACTGGAATTATCATTCCGAATTAAAAAATGCTGCATGTCTTATTACTTATTTTATCAATATCATCAATTCACGATGCAAAAATCGATTATAACATTTTTTTAAAATTATAACTTTGGTTTATACCTCGTCTTTACGAAACGATATCTCCGATGTTTGTCAAAATAAAACATAAACAACTATATAAACAAATGCATAAAAATCAAGTTAACTCGCGCGCACTGTCGGCTATAAGTACATTAACGGGATGCTCTTCAAACATTTATATAACATTGACACGAGCCGATAAGACACTTCAACTCGATATATGTAACAGGCTTTTATATTTCTATTACATGCAATTTCTCGTGACTGCACTAGAACTCATTATGTGAGTCAGTTTAATTGAAGGTCTAGGATGTAAGAACCAGACGATCTATCATTTCCACTAACAAGTTATTTGCTATTTAATATATAATAAGTATTAATTTATTGTGAGTACTGCAAAAGCCAAACATATTTAACAATTAAATAAAGCATGGCAAATAAATTATTTTGTAATTTTTTAATTCAAGAGTCTTCTTCAATCATAAGCACTTCAAATTTTAGATGTAAATATATATGTTATAAATAACAATCATAAAATTGCAGCATTTAATACTTATTATTTAATGAAGTAATGCAGAATGTTGAATATAATTTTGAGGAATTATTTCAATTTTAATAAAAATGATGCGTACATCCATACATTTTTAATTAAAAAACTTGAAGCTAAATTCATAAAGCTAATTTTCTGTTATTAAGCTTTTAAAATTATTTTGTCAGAAGTGTTTAAAAATTTGACAATATTAAAATATTTACCTTTTTGTAGCCACAGTTTTGAAATATAAATATCATTGCTTGAGAGATATGCTTATAATGCGTTTCTACAAGACATTCACACACTTGTTTGACGTTAGCATCGAACGATCAAACGATCGAAGCGAATAAATTAAAAATAAGAATGCGGAATTATGCATGCGTAGCGAACTAGGTGCACCTTAAATATGTTACGAAGGTAGAAATGTAGAACGCGCCGCGTTTAAATAGACGGCGCTGCCTTCTCTCGGCAGTTTGGAAAGCGTTAATCGTGAAACACAGGCAAATACTTCTTCTTTATAAATATTATATTTTATTATATTTTATTAATATCTATTGAATTTAGATAAATTATGATAATGATAAAATAAAACATTAGTAAAAGTTTAATGAAAAAGTATAATACATATTTGAAATTGGAAAGTTTAAGAAAATATAATATATTTCTATTTAATTCTACTAATAATATAGTGAACATTAAGATATAATACAAAAAATCCTATTGTTTTATCTATTAAGAAGAATTGTTTTATTTTCTAAAATTGTGAACAAAAGTTGAATATTTATTACATTTCTTCCATTAATTTATTCACTTTTTAAATTTCTTTTTTGTTTTATTTAAAATATCATTTGCATGCATATATAGATAATATGATAATATTCTAATAATATACATATACATATACTGTTATGTATAATGTATATGTTAAAGATTTAAAAAAAGTTTTACGCGTGAGTAATTAATAAATTATATTTTTAACTTCCTCTTCTCCATATAACAGACATATTTCTAATTTATTTATTAATATAGTATTTATTAATATATTTATTAATATATATTTATGAATATAGTACTACCGATAATATTATTGAAGATAGTCTTGCGGGTATTTACATAGTTTGAAAAATCTGTATGCTAACGCTCTCTCAGGAAATATAACGGCTAACATAAGAAGCATAATGAGCATAGTTGATAATACAGAAATTTACTTAAATTATTCAAGGAAGAAAATTATAATTATTATATTACGTCGATATATATGAATAAATCTATAAAATGTTAAAAAATAATAATTTAATACAAACATAAATAATATTAATGTAAATAAATATAAATAATATATAAATAACAATATAAATAAAAATATAAATGTAAGTAATATATAATAAGAAAAGTATTCTTTTGTAAATTTCTTAAAATTTCAATTGTTTTTTTGATAATTATATGTATAATAGTAATTGTATCATTTATATTTAATCTTTTTTATTAGGATTTTAACTAAAAATTAAATTCTAAGTTTCTCTATCGATTCTATTGAAGAAAAATCAGAACTTCGGATTTAATATTTAATATTTTAGTGTTGAGTTTACATTAAATTTGTTTGAATAAAAGTTGAATAAAAGATAATTATTTTTTTATTAGTGTACGATAAGTTTCCTGATACGTGAAACATTTAATAATTTTTGGTTTTTACCTACGTTTGTCCTATAATAAAAATTTATAAAATGTTATATATTAAATATGTGTATAAATATTACGCGTACATACACATTTGTTAAAGTACGTGAAATATTTCGATGATGAACGAACAATAACACGGTGTTCGGCCTTGGCGAACAATAGCCCGCTAGTGTTTATATGTCACGGCCATGGTATTATTCGTTCGTCGACATTTGAGCAATAAGGTAGTGATGTGAAATACTACGCTATATATTGTCGAATTAATTATTAATTACATAAATAAATAATTACTGTATCATGATTTTCAATTGTATTAATCTTTCGATTTTATAATTCGAGTATATATAAACTTTGTTGAGATATATATACATATATCTCAACAAAGATAGAATTTATAACGAATAATAAATTGAATTTGACCTCATACACACGAATAATAAATTGAATTTGACCTCATACACAAATATTAATATATCGCGATGAAAGTTCTCAAAACGCATATTTCACGTATTTTATTCATTTAATCAAGTAAGCATCATAGAAACAGAAATCTAAAATAATAAATTATAGTTTATGTGAAATTGATTTTTACAAAAAGAAATTATTCCTTTAATAATATTTATAGAATCAAATATTATTCGACCGCGACGCTTTATCACGTTCTATTTTTCAATTATTTGAATATAATTTAGATTCAAAACGCACAGCAAAACAATCGAATCATAAATCGAAATAATTAACATAATGAAAAGCTTCGTGATACATCAATCCTTTAACAATATTACTTAATTAATCTATGTAATCTAAAACACTCCTAAACACTTTAATATTTCGTGTATATGTTAAAATACGTAAAATATTTCGTGTATATGTTAAAATACGTAAAATATATCGGCAATGAATGGGCAATAACACGTTGGGCCTTGACGGCATATGACGCGCTGTGTTTACATGTACGGTTTTGATATCATTCGCACGGCAACATTCGAGGAATAAGGTGCGAAATACTTCATATATTATAAAATTTTCTCTCTAACGATAAAACGCAATTACGACTATACTGAAACATAATTCGTTATGATAATTATAATAAATACTTGCTAAACTTGTAATTGTAATTACTACGCGATCGGTAGTGCCGTGCAAAGTGTCTCACAATTATTGCGTATACTAATCTTAATTGACTAATCTTAATTAATCTTGTTTTCGGGAGTGAATGTGAGTGTAACGAAGAAATAGCAAAGGAGAGGAAAAGCAAGTCTGAAAAAGCACTGGGCAACGTCCTAAGCAACAATATCCGGTAAATAATTTATTAATTATTTATCATTTATATGTTAGATTTATATCATCTATATATCATTTTCATTTATATGTTAGATTTATATCATCTCGTGCACAGTTAATTAATCGCAACAATTAATTTGGTGTTTTTATTTAAATTTTTTTATTTATATTTAAATAAGAGGGAATTAAAGAAAAAGATTTTTAAATTAAAGCTATAATCTTGTAAAAGTATAAGCTTTCATAAAGTTATAAGAGAATTATTAGTAATGTTTTTTAAAATTTATAGAATTATTTTATTAATCTGCTATTATTATATGCATCGAATATAAAATTCAATGTATACAATAATTTTTGGAATATTAATTATTTTGAACGCTGCTACACTAGAATCTTCTTTTGTATATTATAGATTGATGCAACAACCCTGATGATCTGTGAGAAGGAGCAGGCCTAGGAGAGGCATCCTGCACCGGCGGAACAACCTGATGGTGAATATTATTATTTATATATTAATTGTTATAAATTGTTATAAACAAACAATAATTCGATCTTATTATTTAAATGAATTAAAGAGAAAGATTTTTATAAAAGTCATATAAAATTTTCTTTTTAAAAAACAATTTCAAAAATTTATAAAATTTTTTCATGCGTGTTTATCTGCTTATTATTTTACACATCGGATATAAAATTTCGTGCGATAAAAATTGTTTTAAATATTAATTGCATTTTGTGAGCATTATTATAAATGAATTTTATATTTGTATGTTACAGACAACTATCTTCGATAACAACAACTCCGCTGTTGCGCATCAGTGTCGGTGAGTGAGAAAAACTTTTATTTAACTTTAAGGTAACGGATTCGTAGAGATTGCAGATGTAGATGTAGATGTAGATGTAGATGTAGATGTACATTGTAGATTGTAGATAAATTCGTTGCCTTAAAATGAATGAGCTATGATGGATTAAATTAAATAAATTTTAATAGGTTCTTTCGAAATGCTTTGCATTTATTACAAAAATATAATGAAATATTAGTTTAAAAAAGAAGAAATCAAGGAAAGATTTTTTTGTAAAGATTTTTTTGTCTAATTTAAATAAAAAACATGCATTAACAACTTTATCAATTTTTAACTTTATCAATTTTATCAATTTCTTATGCTAATTTATTTATTATTATTTAATTTTCTTATAAACGCGCACTTATCTTCTATCTTTCGTTGATCCTGGAATTCTTTATAGCTCATCTATCGTAGAATTTGTTTGTAGATATTATTTTTAAACTTTACTTTAACTTAATATAAAATGATTAATTAATTAAATCATTTTTAATATGATAAAAATTATACACAAATTAATTTTTTATTTTATTATAATATATAAAATATATATAAATTTGTAGTAATTTGGCTTTATTTCAGTTAAAATAAAGTTATATTCAAATATTTAACGAACGATCCTAAAAAGGAACGATCGTTACTAAATGAGCGTAAATATTTCACGCTCATTTGCCGGTAATTATCCGGCAAAAGAAGGAGTGTTTATCTCCTTCTCGATCTCTGATTAGAGATCGAAAAAGAAAATGGCCAGGATCAACGAAAGGTAGGTTCAACTGGCCTGAAGAGCACGCAATTAAGATACGCGATTAGGATACGCGATTAGAGTACGCGGTTAGGGCACGCGGTTAGGGCACTCGATTAAGGAAGATGATTAGGGCATGTGATTAGGGCATGTAATTAGGGCACGTGATTAAAATATATTCATGATTAGATTAGGTGGTGATTAGAAATAGATTCCACAATAATAACAATTTCGAATAATTTTAATTAATCAGGAAATAGAGTTGTTAGGGCTACATTAAGTAAGATTATTAGAATTCTTCTTTTAATATTAGGGTTGTTAGGGTTATTAAGATCATTAGAATTTTTTAATACTAGGATTGTTAGGGCTATTAGGTAAGATTCATTCTTTCAATATGAGATTATTAGAATTTTTCTTTTAATATTAGGGTTGTTAGGATTATTAAGATCATTAGAATTTTATAATACTAGGATTGTTAGGGCTATTAGGTAAGATTCATTCTTTCAATATTCCAATAATCTTAGGGGTAAATTAAATTTATTTTAATTAAATTGAATTTATTTTTAAAAATATTGTAAAAATAAATATAACATGTTTTAAAATAAAAATGTTTTAAAAATAAAATTTAAATTATCAAAATTATCTTCAGGAATATTAAAGAAATTGCATTATTAACGTTTAAGAAATATCTTAACATGTTATATTTTATTTTAAAACTTAAAAACATATGTATATCAAATTAAATATTAAATTCAAATGTTAATGCTATCAATATCAAATTATTGATATTGATATATTATTAAATATTTGAATAAATTGAATATTATTATTTGACATTGATAGCATCCTAATTAAATTTATAAATTGTAAATAGTTATAATTGTATTTTAATTATAATCTAATATTGATATTTTAATTGTAAAATATAATACAATTATGACTATAATTATATTATATAAAATTGTATTTACGATTGTAAATTCTTACGTAAATTACATGAAAAATTATCGAAAATATACGTTTAATGATTACATAATAGTAATAATAATAATAATTCATTAAATTGAAGTATTTGTTTCTATAATATATATTTTTGAAGTATTCATAAAAGAGTAACTGTTTGTATTTTTATATCAAAGAGTCATTAATAAAATCGGAAAATTTTTATATAAAATGTAAAAATTTGATGCTAAATTAATGATTAAATATATAAATTTTATAACTTATATATAAATATATAAGTTATAAAATTTGATGAACGTCTTCGTTATAGAATCGCAAGTCAATTATTATAAATTTAATGACATGCTTTCCATTAGATTTATCTATTTATGAATTCCATATCGCGCTGAATATTCTTAAAGTAAATTATTAAATTATGATTGTGAAAATATCGTGTTTTTTCTGCGTTCTTTTCGCGTCCTTATAAAAGATTACCGTTTTAACAAAATAATTTTTTCGCTATCTCTTTCATCAGATAATATTCCTAAATATTGCTAATTAAATAATAATAAAGCTATATAAAGAAAAATCGAATAAAAGATTCGATATGATAAGTCAACGATTAAATATATTAACTTCACAAAATTTAACGACCGATCACCTTCGATATTATAGAATCGCGAGTTAATTATTATGAATTTAATAATTTGTTTTTTCAGTTATATTTGTATTTACGAATTTCGTATCGGAAAATATTCATAAATAAATTAATAAATTACGATTGCGAAATCATCGTGTTTTTCCCGCGTTCTTTTCGCGTTCTTAAACGAGATTGTCGTTTTAATAAAAAAGTTATCGTTATTCCTTTCGTTAAATAAACGTTAATGAAAGTTGCGTGACTCGTACCGAAACAATTTTCATCATGGAGAATTATTTCTCACCTGTTCTTGTGAGATCCATCCGCGACTTCTAGTTCGATGCCCTGTTGAAAATTGGGAATTTTTATATTTTGTATTTTATATTTTATGTTTTGTAAGATTGAAGGAGAGAGAACTAATCCCAGGTTTTCCTAGCAATTTCTGAAAGCAATGATTTCGGTAGTTCAACGACGATATGCTTCTTTAATGTCGAATTAATTTAAATAATATATATTTAGATGAGAGAAAGGTATCTTTACTTTTCTTCGTTAAAAATGTTCTATTATTATTAGGATTGGTATTATTATTATCTATATATATAATACCAGAAAGATTTAATAGTAATTAAATATGGATATAGCGTTGTGTATAAATTTTAATTTTTCAAGTAATTTCATATTGCAATTAATTTGTATAATTTTTTTGATAAAAATGATTACGAACGAATATATTTTTAATTATATTTTTAATATAATTTGTCTCTTTCGAAAAATTATTTTTAGGTGCTGGGGATATTAACATTAATTTTTAGTTTCTTTTAAAAAACTATTTGCAGGTATTGGACATCCATCGCCATTTTGAAATATTAGTTTTTAGCTATATATCATTTTATATATGTATAATAAAATACATGCACAAATTAACGTATTCAAAATATTTTTATAATTTTTCAATATGATATATTATATATACGCGAAATTATATATGAATGTTATATAAAATGTGCGAATACTTAAAAAGTTCGAGACGAATCGAATGGGTACCCCTATATCAATAAGATATTGATTAAAAGAAAATAAAATTATTAATTTAAATGTTATAAGAATAAGAATATAGAGAATTAGTCTAGAATTAATTATATATTTAAAATTACTTCACTTATTTTATTTTACACATTATTTGAATTGAAATTTTTTAAAATCTTGCTGTTATCGGGTTCGATTCGTCTCGTGCGCGCGAACGGCACCCCCAAATTATATGTGTTCGCACATTTAACACAAACTCCAACAATGCATCTATTTTATTATTTATAAATATAATCGTTCGTAATCTCATTTCAATAAATAGGTCGTTATATCCATTTAATTTTCAATAAAGAAATATATTTCTTAATAGTGGAAAAATATGTTTTCTAATGTGCATATCAATTTTGTGAATTGAAGACTATCGAGAATAGTCCGGAAGATCCAGGATTCGTTCCCTTTTACAGTGAAGTTCCCGACGTTCCATGAATCCCTTAACTTTTTTTCGCAGATCTTGCGAAATCTGATGTAGAAACAAGATATTAATCATTTTCCATTTTTAAGATCGCTCCTCTTTTTATCGGATTATCGGTATGTCACTCGCGTATCTGCAATTGAATGTTCTGAATATTATCGATTTATTTATTCGTCGCGTTTTATCGCGAATTTTAAATCGCAATTTATCTTATAAAAATTTGCAAGTAAATCGGTTGATGAATTGCATATTCACAAACATTACAGACCTCAAATGTTTGTTGAAATATTTTCGGTTTGCTATATTTACGTGATAATAATTATATCGCGCACATGTCTATTAAAAGCTTCGATTATTATATTATAAAAATTATACGTATCGCGATCAAATATTCCGAATATTATCGATTTATTTATTCGTCGCGTTTTCTCGGGAATTTTAAATCGCGATTTATCTTATAATTTAATCGTTGACTTATACATTGACTTATACTTTGTTTATCTTTCCACGTCTTTGAATATTGTTTTTAATAGTTCGTGCAAAATGCTGGTAGTGCAAATATTTTCCTCTATAATTTAAAAGACAATCGATAACTTTATTAATAACTGTTTTAAACGTGATTCTTTACATTATTTAAATCTTATTAAATTCTACAATTACATCGATTATTAGAGAGAGTTTGAAAATCATTCGTTCCGTTATTTTCTATTGAACGTGGCTACAACGCGATTTTTAATTATATTTTAAAGCTTATAGAGTTCATTTCATCTTATTCAGCTAATGCGCGAAATAAAATATGTATTTTATTCTCAATTAAGGAAATTCGTATAAAGTCGCGTATTAATCGCAAATAAATCGGACAGTCAATTTTATGTTTATAAACAATACGGATTACAAATGTTTGCTAAAATATTTTCTCCTGTCATAATTTGTATGATAATAATTATATCGCATGCGTATCTATTGATAGTTTCGATTATCATATTATAAAAATTATGCGTATCTCGCAATCGAATATTCCGATTATTGTCGATTTATTTATTTGTCGCGTTTTCTCGCCAATTTTAAATTGGGATTTATTTAGTAATTTAATTGTTGATTTTGAAGTTTATTCTATCTTTTGATTTTGAATATTTCCTTTGATAATCTATACAAAATGCGCCAGTAATGTAAATACTTTCTTTTACTCAAAGAAACGATCAATAATTTTATTAATGACTCTTTTGATCACGATTATTTACGTTACATAAAACTTATTAAATTCTATTATTGCATATCTATTATTAATAATAACTGTCGCATAATTAATCTTCGCTGATTAGTCTCGTCTGGACTATGTAAAAAATGTTTAGTAAATTTTATTATACGTATATTTTGGACATTTTTGTGTAATAAATTATTCCATGTAACAAATTATTTTGTATTAAATTTCGAATTATATTTTATATTAAATTTGTATTATATTTTGTCATATATTTTGTAATATGTATTTAGCATAAAAATATTATGCATAAAAATATTATGTTGGTATGAAAATTATAATAAAAATATATGTATAGTAAAAATAATTAGTTATATTAAAATGAAACACATAAATTCTTTATATTTTATATAGAAGATTTTATATTATAAAGAAGAGACTTAAAATATTTTGCAACATCTATATTTGTCGAGTCTTAATTATAAAAACTTCAGAAGAATCAGTGATTTGACAAATTCTATACATGTATTAATAATTAAATTTTTAAATAATTAAAAAAATGATTGATAAATATTAAAGATCAATTTACTGTTAATTAAGAAGATTTATAGAAATACAGTTAAAAATGTTTTTATCTCACAGCAGGCATTTTGTGTTTTGTGAATAAAAAGATATAAATATGACAATGAATATAGAAAAATATTTATTTCATCTTTAAATATTACAGTATCTTTCGCGATTAAATAATTTATTTACTATCAATTTACATACATAAAAATATCTTGTTATACAGCACTGATGCTACCCCGACATTTCATGTATATAGCACGGAACAAAACCAGAAATTGTGCACATTATATATTACCGTCTGAGAACATTCATGGACATTGGTTTGTAGTTCATGCCCACATTTTCAATGTCCATAGAGGGAGTATCGCTTTCAGGGATCACCTAAAAGCAGGCCATGACATCTTTCAGTCTTCTCTCTGTTTCTACCAGAAGTTTCTGGTTTGAAATGTAACCTCCTTATTTTAATCAAACGTAGTCAAACGCACGTGTGAAAAATGGCCAAGTCGTTGCGTAGTAAATGGAGAAGAAAATGCAGGGCGGTAAAGAGAGAACGTTACGCGGTAAAGGAATTAGACAGATTGAAGAAGACCCTTGGCATTGAAAATGCACCTAAAGATGTTGAAATGGCAGATATTCAAGAAATTGCTACAGGTATGATTTCACATTTGCACTAACATAATAAAGATACTAAATAGATATTTATAATAATCACAATAAATATATACAGAGTGGTCCCGAACGTTCCAGCCAGACTTTGAGATCTTATAGGAAATTTAATTCTGAACAAAAAAGTTTCCTATAAACATGGGTCGAAAAATACCTCCTTAACAAGTTATCGCTTAAAAACCTCTGATGAAGGAAGAGCAAAAAATGAAAAGAAAATGAAACTAAATAAATTTCTTGAAAAAAACGATAAAAATAAAAAATAATCTTTTTCTTTTATGAAAATAAAATAATTTTTTTTTTAACTAATTTTTTATTTTCATAAAAGAAAAAGATTTTTATTTTTTATTTTTATCGTTTTTTTCAAGAAATTTATTTAGTTTCATTTTCTTTTCATTTTTTGCTCTTCCTTCATCAGAGGTTTTTAAGCGATAACTTGTTAAGGAGGTATTTTTCGATCCATGTTTATAGGAAACTTTTTTGTTCAGAATTAAATTTCCTATAAGATCTCAAAGTCTGGCTGGAATGTTTGGGGCCACCCTGTATATTGTAACAATTATAATAAGTATTATAATATCATACGTATGTAATGTAACATGGTAATATGTTTTAAACTGTAGTTGTTGACGCAAAAAAAATCAAGGAAGAGCAAGCTAAAGCTAAGGATACGAAAAGCGATGCAATCACAGATCAAGAACAGATGGAAGTAGAAAAGATAGAAAATGCCAGAGTGTATAATAAGAAAACATTGCGTGATCAATATGGTAATTATCCTGTATGGATGAACAGACGAAAGGTACTCAAACATAAAAAAGGTCGAGCAAAAATGCAGAAGGCCAGCAAAGTAACGAGCAAAAGGCTCACCAGACGACAGAAAAAGGCAATAAAACAAAATTAAATATTTCTCCACAAATTGTGAAGTTAATTTTTTCGCGCTTATAAACCTTTAAATACGTGGGTCGTTTGATAAGTTTGGTAAATTTCCGTGAAATTGCGCCACAATTTTGCAAGTTTTGAGACAATCTATTTTTTCGACAGTTAAAAAATTGGAATCTCGTTGGACCAAGTGTATAGACCTCAATGGAGACTATGTTGAGAAATAACGTAGATTTTGTGTTTTACAATGTGTTTTACTTGCTTTTTTACCAAATTTATCAAACGACCCTCGTATTATAAAATTTAATTATTTCCTTTTATAAATATTTCTTTTTATAAATAATTACATTATTGCACCTACTGTAAAGAATAGGTGTAGTTGCAAAGTTATTACAAAATTATCTTTTTTATTTTTATGTTCCTTTTTCTCAACTAATTTGTTATATTTAGGTGAACATATTTGAGTAATTTTCACCTTCTTTCGTATATGTCTTTTGCATATGACTTTTGATTAATGTCTTTTACCGATTGAGAGTAAAATTTTTCTAAATTATGGTTTGCATAAAATCATTTTTTTTTAGCAATTTTAATTATTTAAATTTTATGAATAAAAAATATACTCATTCTTTTAATACTGCATATAATACACTCTATCTCCATTTTGCTTTCAACACTTAAATTAAAAAGTTGCAGATACAAATTCATATTGTTTTATTATATATAAAAGTTGAATACAAATAATTATATTTAAATTATATACTACTATTACTACTAACTTATAAAGTATAAACGATATTAAATTATGGCAGTGATATTATTTCACGGCAGGAAGATTCCGTGTAAAATTTCTGACTAAAATTAGCATTTTGAGATAAAGGCAACTATTATCATTTAATTGAGAATAAATAACGTTCTGTTGCATAGGTTTTTCTTTTATATCTTTTATCTTACAATATAATCAATCGTCTTTGCATAACATTTCGATAGTGCAAGAATTTCATGGTAAAAAAATACTACTATTATTAGATTAAATAATAATGATAATAGAGTGACATTGTAAATGCTAAAAGTTTAATAATCCGCTATTTATTGGTATTGCTGATCTGCAGCGTATTCTCAGATGAGTTTCCAATTCTGCGATGCGATTCATCAGATGATGTATCTTTCTCATTTCTACCTCGTATTGCTTCATCTTACTTCTCATATCATATACTTCCTGTTGCATCAGTTGCTAAAACAAATCGTCAAGGTACTCGTAAATAATGTAAATAGTATCTGTTTTACTAATATGATCTCGAAATAATGCAGCATCACACACACAAATCGAAATTATATTATTGATTTATATATGTCATATATAATTTTTTCTTTTTTTTTCATTTTATAAAGGGAGTAACAATTTTGATTTCCATTATCATATGCAACTTTTAATAAATTCTAAATCGGAAATTAGCAAAAAGTTTAATATCGAAATTATATTTTCTCTTTAATCAATAATCGTTTATCATGATAAAAATTATTTTATTTTTGTTTTTAATAACCGTAAATGCACAATATATCTTAGATAATCTAGCAGATGGATAAGTGTAAAAAAGAAAATTCTCGCAATTTTTAATTATATTATCATTGTGCAAAATAATAAAATAAAATCTGAAAATCAAGGAGGTAAAAAATATAAATAAATTTGTAATAAAATTTAATTATGAGAAATTATTTATGAGATTTTTTATCATGCATTATTTTGAGAAATTTGAATATATTTTAATATTTTTTTAAATATATACCACGTTCTCGACAGTTCTTTTCATCTCGTTGATGTTCTCGATCGCTAATGTGACTTTGGTGTTCATTTCAGAAGCTTCCGTATCTTTCTTTCTGTTTTTGGCCACTTGCTGAAGAGTTTTAATATATTTTCTCATTAATTATGTATCATGTTGATAAGTATTTCACTTACCTTCTCCAGTTTTGTTAATCTCTTCAAGATGATTTCATAGTCTTGGTCATCGTTGTTCACCTCGTTTTCTGTATCTACAATTTAAATGGCCATTTGTCTATTATTTTATTTATTGATTTATTTCATTTTACAAATTTTTAGATAAACCGTAAATTTTATGTCATATTTATTAATAATGCAAAAAAAAATTAAAATTTATATATAATTTAATTGTAAAAAGAGGGATAAAATAATTGCTTCACATTTTAATATCTTTCGTCCACAATTTTAAATTAAAACAGATTATTCATAAAATTAATTTTTTGAAAAAAAGCAATTGAAATTAACAAATAGATATTTTTAACAAAAATATTATTAGATTTTAAAATTGAATTATATATATACATACCATGAGAAGAGATCGGATCTTTTGTTGTTGACATGTCGTGAAAATCGTTCTCCAAGTCGCGGGCTTCAAAGGCATTCTCATCGGTATCTGCAAAAATAATAGACATATTCTTAAAGTTATTCTTCGTAAAATTAAATTTTTCTCTTAGATTTCGAATTTTGCATACTTACCATTCCTCCGACAGGATTGACCATCTTGCTGAAGTTTAAACCCGGCTCTACAATAACATCGATAGCTACCGGGTGTGTTTATACAAAGTTGTCCGCACGGTTTTTCTATCGCGCACTCGTCCACGTCTATAAAATAAAGATATGCTTAATTTTTTGCAGAAAGTGCTTTATCTTTTGTTACCAAAAATGATGTAGAATTATTCAACAAAAAATAATAAATTAAAAATAATAAATTTAAAGTGAAGTTTTAAAATTTTAACTTTTTAGGGAGATATATGATAGATAAAATCAATAAATTTTGTTGCGTGTAGCTTGATTAATAGATTTTTAGATTATTAGAAATTTTTAGATTAAATTTTTTTTTTTTTTTTTTTAGATTATTAGAAATTTTTTCTCTTTATAAGATATGAATTTCTCACACATTTTTACACTCATTCGATTAGAATAATTAACTTGTTAATATTGCATAATGGCACATGTAATTAAACACAATTAGTTCTAACTACATACAAGCGTTGAAGCGCAATTTGATCGATTCCTCGGTTGCCTTCTCGTGCTTGGTATCATCAGATATAATTAATTATCGACGTGAAACAATATGCTCCTTGATAGGATCACGCGAACACCGAACTAACTGCAGTGCAATCCGTATTGCGGTGTCCTATTGTATGTCCTGCATCGGTCGGTTGCAACCAAAAAGGGTTCTCTTGGTAGATTTACGAGCGATTTTCTGTCGCGTTACACGAATATTCTAATTTTTCATATATAATGCGAACGTTAGTACTGTAATTACGATCGCGTGACTGTGATGAAAGACTCGATTCTTATTTAAAATATGAATGTTATTTTAATTTTTTATCCTGCTCTTTTATAATAAAAACACGTTATCATATCTCGCTATCGATCATAACATATATAATTGATAAAATAAATTCACGAAGTTATTTTAATAAGAGAGAAAAAAGAGAGAAAAAAATTTCTATTTTTTTTAAATATCATATACTTTGTTTCAGAAAATAGTATTTATTTTTTTAGTACTTTAAATATGTATGAAATATATTAAATATATTAAATATATATTCTGTGTGAGAGAGAAAGAAAGAGAAATTTCTCGTATAACTTTCTTGTCAAAGCTAATAATAATAATGATGCTATGCAACGTGGATGTTCGTAATCCCAATTTATAAATGAAATTAAAATTACCTGTCTGGCATTGATTGCCAGTATAACCCTTAGGACACGTGCATTTACCAGATGTGCAAATTCCGCCATTCAGACACAAGGCTGGACACGTGGCTAAAGAACAATTAGATCTAGATTAATCGATTCATTTATATTATAATTTATGAATTTATCGATAATTATATAATAATTATAATTCGATATATCGATAATAATAATTATGAATTTATCGATTATAATTATATGAATAAATCCAGCAAATATTGCAACTATAGATGATAAATATTTAAATGATTTAAGAATTCTTTTTATTAAAATTAAATTAAAATTTTTCGATAATTTTAAACAGTTGATTTTAAACTATTATTAAATCTACTTACGTTTGTTACAACCAAAACTCAAATGAGTAACTTGCGACCATCCCGGGCAGCAAAAAAAACTGGAAGTCATCTCAGTATACACTAATCTAGAAAATATTCCATAAATATTTAAGAAATTTATAAAATATAAAATATAATTATAAAAGATGGAAAAGATTCTTTGCCATAAATATTTATAAATCTATATTAATATATTAATATTTATATTAATATTTATATATTCAAAGCAAACTTATCCTAAAATTAATTAGATTTAATCATAATTTATATCTGATTTATGCTGATGAAAGTTTCTGTACATTTATGTGAGATGTGCGAAGTACCTAATTTGTTTTCCTCGATGATGAGAAGTTATAGGAGCTTGCCTCGTACACACTCGTCTCCTGTAACACAAAATATTAATTAATCCATTTTAATCCACGTAAGAGATAGCATTTCTTGTAAATGTATTAAATATATTTTATATTTTATATATTTTTATATATTTTATTGAAACACGTGGACAGATCATTATTTTATAAAAGTTTCAACCTACATTTCAGTTGAAAACGTACCGTATATAATATATTATGCATAATACTTCAGTGATCGCGACGTTTGAAAGCAAACCAGATATGTAAAAGGCATTATTGCCAAGAATCCTCTTTATGAATCTTCAAATAATCCTTTCTTCCGATCCCGTATCGATTTCAGCTTTGCATCTCATTACTGCGGCTTACGCGACGGAAAATTAAATCGGCGGTCACTTCGATAGTCATCGTAAACGCGCGCGTGTCTCATGTTGGGCCTCTTCCAGCTGAATTGATCGCTAAAGCACAGTCATTTGAATCGTAAAGTATGCAGAAGGCCGGTTCAATCGTAAAGTACGAAGGCCGATCGAATATATGCAGTCGAAATAAGTATTTGCGTTGATGACGGTGTTACTTGTCATGCCTCGAGCCGGCTTTGGAATCAAGCTTACGCGATGCGAAACCGAACGATTGTATTTCTCTGATTAAGAATCGAGAATGTAAAACGAAGAATATCATTGTACGGTCTGGAATGAAGATAAAATCTTGAAAATATCATCAAGTCACTTAACAAAAGCGAACTGGTGCGCGCCAGACAGCGAAAAGCTCTCGACGATTTATAACATATGGCAATCGTACGTATGTAATTAGGCATCGGAACGAACTTGCTTGCTCGAACAGAACCACTTCGTCATCGTCAGGCCGTAGAAAATTGCATTTCATCATCGTCGCTGTCGTGTTTGCTGAAACGTAACACGACATTTATTGTCGCAACAATGAATACTGAGGACTTGGTGGTCCCGTCTACGTCGGTTTCTCGCTCGAGAGGCGCGAGAAACGCGATCTATCGCTAGATCTGCCATGAGCGACTGCACAAGGGATCTTATGTGCACTTATATATACGCAAATTCGCCGCCATTAAACCTTTCATTAATTCGTATGAACAGTTTCGAATAATTCGCGACTTTTTTTCTTATATTTAATGTTACTTTAACAAAATCTATAAAGCCTTGCTATTATCTCCTGCGATAATGATATATGACGTGCGATAAAGTTTAATTTATTAATATAATTTAATAATAATTAGTTATAATATAATAATAATTTATTAGGAATATTATAATTTTTTTATTTATTGTTGCAATTGTGATTTTAATTGTGTAATGCAATATATGTCATATATTATGTCATAATTTGTAGAAATTATGGACAGATACGAAAATAAATTCAAGTGAATTTTTTGAAAATATTTTAATACTATCATTTTCACTATCATTTATTCAGCAAAATTAATATTTTGAACACTTTTCTCTTGACAATTTTATAAGTTTAACGAAATTAACTAAAATAATATAAACGATTTATTTATAGCACTATTCATTTTAATTGCTCCTTAATATTTCGCTCCTTAATTCGGTACTTAATATTTCGCTCCTTAATTCGGTACTTTATGTTGAAAAAATTTTAATATAAAACTAAAATTTGTCCAGATATTAAATAAAATAGTAAGAAAAATAGTGTTGAAATATATTAAAATAAGTTATATAACAGAATATAATAGTTATATATTAGTTAAATAATAGATAATTTCGCTGAAAAAACATCAATTTTAAAATAAAAAATTTTAATATAAAACTAAAATTTGTCCAGATATTAAATAAGATAGTAAGAAAAATAGTGTTGAAATATATTAAAATAAGTTATATAACAGAATATAATAGTTATATAATAGTTAAATAATAGATAATTTCGCTGAAAAAACATCAATTTTAAGATTAAAAATTTTAATATAAAATTAAAATTTGTCCAGATATTAAATAAGATAGTAAGAAAAATAGTGTTTAGATATATTAAAATAAGTTATATAACAGAATATAATAGTCATATAATAGTTAAATAATAGATAATTTCGCTGAAAAAAACATCAATTTTAAGATCATCAATAATGATATAATTGACAGAAAAAATATGTACAACTTTTTATATCTCATTTACCATTAATTCTATTTATATCAGTAGTATTACGACATACATATAAGTGACAGTTTAATAAGACTTTGTGTGCAGAAAGATTTTTCTCTATATCAGCGTTGTACTGTAAGTCACAGTCATGAAACGTCACATAGAAGCCAGGAAATTGTCCCTCGTCACTTATTGTTAGCATCGTATAATTTACCACGTCCACGCCTATTGGTAACCGGGGTACTTTAATGATTCACAATGATTTCCTCAAGCTTTCTCCAGCACGTAAATCGCCGTCGTGTTCTCAATTCGCGAAAAATCCCCGTGAAATGCGTCGCACGACGGGGGGTTCAGATACGGTTCGGAGGATATTCGCGTGGGAATACTGGTTGGAGAACTATTGCTCCGAGTTTGTTTCGCACGTGTCTCGGTAGACACCGATAAGACTGTTTCTCCCTCTTTTTTTTACGATCAATCGAGCGGACATTTCGACAAACGTAAAAACAAAATTGTCGCAAGAAGCAAGAGCGTGTCTCACAGCGATTAGAATTATCGGAGATTTACGGCCCGCAGATGATTTATGACGGGAAATCTTGTCCTTTCATGAAAAACTCGTCGTCTCATCAACCGCGGTATTTATGCGCCAGCCAGTTGCTGGACCAGTTTTATGGCGGCGGGTTAAGGGTCGGTACACCGAAGTGATTGGCAACTGCACCGACCAAAGTGCATATGTACGTATGTCTCCAGTCATTTAAAATATTACCCTACCTAATGAGATACCGGGGCTGCTATAAATATTTAAATTTGTTACGTGGAAAATAGTTTAAAAGTTGTCTTTCGCAGCTTGAATGATCGCTAATTATTTCTCCGCGCTTGTAAAAAATAATATATTTATACACTGAGGGAAAAATTATCTTGAAATAAAAAAATTTTAGTTAACTCAAGAAAGCTATTTATTCGGTGGATACTAATCACGTATTTACTTGTACTTAAAACGTCTGTTTGCTTAAGTTAGGTATTTATTTACATATGTTTAAAAAAAATATATATATATATATATATATACTTAAAAAAATATAATTTTTAATTAAATATTTTAATTTTAATTTTATAAAATATTTATTAAAATGCATTTTTTATTCCCAAAAATTTTTAATTTTTTAATTTTAAAAAATAATATATTTAATTTAATAAATTATAGTATATATTTTACGAAAATAATATATAAATATAAAAAATATATAAATGAAAATAATGTACTTAATATAACATGCATATTTAATTAAAATTAAATGCTTTTGCTTAAATGAAATAAACAATTCCTTCCATTTAGAGCAAAAGTTTTAAGAAAACAAATTTATTTGATTAAAAAAATTTTTCCCTCAGTGTATATATATATGTATGCGTAATTGTTAAAAAATAAAAATCCTTATAAATAAAATTGTTTTTCTTTTAAAAAACAGTCCTAATTCGACTTGTCATTTTTTTATTCCTGCTTACTTATAAAATCGCGGAGAAATGATTAGCGATATTTTTAAGTAATTTATTTAAAGATCAGTCATATCTGATTTAAACAAAAAATTATATAAGATATATTTTATAATGATAAACCAAGTGAAAAAATGAAACGCATAATAAAATTACAACCTCCCGCATCAGATACATAGATCAGACGCCGTCGCGTGACGTGGCTTACAAGGTTTTGGCCGAAGGGCGATAAATCTGCGATAAATAAATCTGGCGATAAATCGCGAATGAATTATCGCATCAAACACTCGCATGTCTATGGCTTTTTTAAGCACTTCCGAAATCTTGGCGGTGATCTCGGGTTAGCTTCTATTCCTACCAACATCACGTAACCCTTAAGACGACATCGTGTTATCGCGATCGTTTGTTATACCTTCGTACATCTGTCTGTTGCTCGCGAGTAGATTTTCACTGGCGATGACGACAACGATTTCCTTTATCGTCCTTACGAATCCCCTTAATGAGCGTGTCTTCTGCGCGTATTTTATGTCTATGCGAGAGCAGAGACATTTCTTCGTCAAGCCAACAAGTATTGGCCCCGTAAATTTTACGAATCTCGTAATTCACGTCAAGTTTATTAAGCTAATAAAGTCCGCTACATGACATTTAAGTTCAATATTCGTGAGAATTATGATTATATGCGTTAACTTTCTTCCTGCTAAATACAAAATACTGCATATTGGTATATGAGTTTCATGTAATATTACAAACCTGCGAATATTTTAAATTTTATACGATTTATGTAAATGTTTATTTTTAAAATTTAAAACAAATATATAATTGTTGGAATTTATTTTTTAATAAATACAAGAAATAAAATTTAACATTGAAAATAAACCTTAAACTTTTAATTTAATTTTACTAAATAAAATAAATAATAAAAGTAAATAAAAAATTAAATAACTTTTATTATAGTTTAATTTTGTCAAGTAATAATTATCAATATTTTTTGTGTTTATATATAATTTTAAATCATATATTAATAACTATATTAAACATTGATTTTGAATATTGAATAACAATTCTTTTTTGCAAATATTCATCCATTGCTCTATGATATTTTTTTAATTATAAATAAAAGAGCAGTACAAGAGTCGATATAATTTCTCATCAGAAAGTATCCAGCAATAAATTCTAACTACAGACGAAGCAAAGTGCAGGTTTAGCGCGGAAATACATGATACATCTTGCACGTCTGGTATAAGAGCAATAAACACTGGTCTTTTACTACCCGCGATTTTTCATAAACGTTGGCCCACTGTTTTCTTTTTTCTCATACACCGTGCATTGCGATCTCATGCAGATGCGCGCTTCACAGCTTTCAATTTTGTGCGGTCGGTCATAAAGAAATCAAGCGTTCAACGAGATCAAAGTGTAGCAATTTC